TTTTGGGTACTGGGAAAATTCGCGAGCCAGGCAGGAATAGACAGTCCATAAAACACTGTGCGCCGAGGCGAGAGAGCATACGGGAAGAGCGAGACGCAGACGGTGAGGATGCGCTGGGCGCTACTTGCAAGCTTCATGCACCTAAGGCCGTTGAAGGGGTGGTACTATTTCTGCGACTGCGAACTCAACTACCCCATTTACAGGTTGTTTCAGTGTAAAGACGCGGAGATGTGCCTTTAGGTGACAGAGTTGGATCATCGGGTCATAAGACCCCAAAAATTTTTGGGCTCTGCGAGTACGTGCGATCGCGTTGCGGCTATCAATGACGTAGTGTTTAGCTTTCATTTCTTGTCGGCTCGAGTGCGGAATGTTTTTGAAACTTCACCTACAATGACGTTTGCAGCGAGTTTTCTAATAATCGATCGATTCAGATCTTTCGTTCGCACATGGACCCTCCCAGAAAGTGTTGACCTTGATGCCATCCGTACGCAGCTCAACGACGCCGGGCATCTATCCATCGAGGCACCGAAAACAACTGAAGGCGGCAGCCAGCGTCGCACACTGCCAATTGAGAGAGCTCCAGCCAAGCAATAAAGAGGTTTCCCATTGTTGGGACGAATGAAATCTGTCCCAGAAATCGATCGACCCCCATCATGCGTGACTTGTGGGACAACGTTTGCTTTTTGATAGTGGGTTTGCTTATTCATACAGTTTACTGGTTCATTATCCCGCTATCTTTGCTCACTTGTATTTCGTATTTTTCGTAGGTTTTTGTTATTTTGCTTGGATAAAACTTTACAATTATTTGTTTTATTCAGCACCTTTACAGCTTTTGGGTTCCTTCAACTTTTACCGCAGCAACAAGCACCTCCCTAGGCGATGTGTTTTGCAAGAATGTGTCTCAATCTGTAGTATACTGTGCACCAGTGACATCCCACTTTCCCTCAGAATCATGAAAACATAAAAATAATTTTGCAGTTTCCCTGGGCAATAGGACCTTGGGATGGAACTTGGGACCTGGTTGATCTGTGGCTCATTTTTGAAGCTCTCCAAACAATCCCACCATGGAGATTAGCAGTCATGCACCCAGCAGGTGCTCGTCATGGGACAAGTTTTCCATAAAAACAGGGAAGGGATTACCTTCGAGTTACTCAAGTTCCCAGAGAGGCGTGATGGGTCCTCCTGAAATAGGCTAAGAGTGGGAATTCTCAGAACATAGGGCATTGCCTTATTCCGCAAGCCCAAAGACATTTGGGGAAACTGAAAGATAGGGAGGTTGGTGGAAGAGAAAATTTAGTAGCCGATCATCCTCCGAAAAAATCTCATCGCCCCAGTAAAATTTGAGGAGCACGTTAGGACGACCTTCAGTGACGTGGGAGTTCTCCATAGCGGATAAGGATTACGTTTGATAGGGCATTGCCTTATCCCCCAAGCCCAAAGACACTTGGGGAAACTGAAAGCGAAACGAACCATTTTAATTATTTCGTTTATAAAGGGTTTTTCTTTCTGAATTGAGTCGTTTGTGTTCTGGAAGGAGAGTCGTAGTGGGTGAGAGCGACATTCCTTTACCGAAACGATTAGGGTAGGTTCCTCAATTTTAGGAAGTTGAGGAATTTCCTCCTTGCCTACTGGCGAAGTGGTGCCACATCCACACGCTTGGTCCGGGGTGAAATCTCAGACTGACTCTCACACAAATCACCAATCGTTTCATTCCCAAGGGTCCGTTATTTTTACCAGACTTGGCTGGACTCTTATAAATGGCTGTTCCCGCTTGCACTGCATGTAGTGACCGTACCGAATTCAAGTGCCATTGCTGCTCTGAATGAAAGCAGAACGCTTGGCGCATCCCAAAAAAGATTAGTCAACGGCATAAGATTCATTCGTTGTGTGCTTCCCGCTACAACAATTTTTGGAAAAATGGAAAGTAACGATGTGGGTTAGAAAAGGGAACAAGTACATAAGTCAAGGGCAGTCACAGAGGAACCCATGCTGTCTGGGAATAGGATGGGGTAGGGCGGGGGGAAGGGAATTATCGACTTATGAATTTCCACGACGGCATGCTGTACCATGTTGCACCCGACCTGCTGGTTGGCCGCGGATGCGATCCGCGAACCACGGGTCTCAGGACGTCTGTCAAGCGTGAGTCTAGGCAATTCAGCGTTTCGTAATGCTGTCTGGGAACTCTCACACGTGACACTACTGCACACTATTGCAGCATTTCTGCTTTCTTTCCTCTATTCAGAAGGCTTGCCTCCCGCCCCCCCACCCCCACAAAGTGTTAATTTTTCCCATCCGGCAGCTACAGAAGCATATTTTCCCAACCCGGTAGGTGCGCCCTTTGCCACTGGGCCGTAGCTGTCCGTCAATGCTGATAGGAACGATTTCGATTGTAAGTTACACGCTATATTGGCTAACTAAGATTTATTTATTGAACAAATAACATCAAGCAACAAGTTCAACAACTACAAACAACAACAATGGACAGCCACATTAGTTTTTTTTACAGCAATATTCAAATTCGGAATATCTACACGTTGTTTAATATGCTTACAGTTAGATAACACCTGTACAAGGTAACTTACAGTCCACAAAGGGAAAGCTGAGGTGAGAAAAATATTAAGACCATACAGCTCATAACATTCAAGCCACAAAAATGGGAACCGCGATTGTCGCGCAAAAATGACTTCACAGCTCATTTTTTCTCGGTTTTCTCAGCCTCCTTGACCCGCTGGATAGGAATGGTTCTTCCGGACTCAGATGCCTTCCCGATCTTCGGTGCCTCGATGGAAAGGCGGCCATTGTCTGAGAGGGACGAGCGAACAGCGTCCAGATCAACGTTTTCTGGAAGATCCCATTGTCGCACGAAGGACCTGAAAATTAAATTATAAATACTTTAGTAATCCGCTGTGACCCAAAAAAATGAAATATGAAAACCGAAAGAAAGAAATCGGAAGTCGGAAATCGGAACAATGGTGGATCTATGCATACAAGACCAAAATTGGTAAAACCTGGAGTCAAAAAGGCCGCCTGATCAGGAGGAGGGGAGTGGTGAGCCCGAACATTGCGTCAGATTCACGGAAGCGCTCAGTTTCAGGACCAACCATGGCCTTAGAGAAGAAGGACCCCGGGTACGTAAGCAATTTCCATTCTCTCCTGAATTGGTCCCTCTCCGTTAGACGTAGTCCTAAAGGCCTTCCTACAGCCTGCCCCCCTCACACCAGCACCCTCCAAAAGGGATGTGGCGTTATCTTCCACAAAAAGTCGTAACCCTATCTTGATAATAGGGAGTAAGAGAAGGGGCCTCCTTGTTACAACCAAGACCTCAGAAATCGGAGTTTGCTCTTCATATAAGACCTTGGCATTCAAATACGAACCCGGACAACAGGAACCCGACCATCAGCACTCCGACTAATGCCTGAAAAGTAAGAAAAAAATTAAAACAGTACGTCATAGAGTAGCCGTTTTCTTCTTTTACTTCTCTCTTTTCCTCAAGTTGTTATTAACGACCTCTCCTGTTCACTTGAGGTCCTGGCTGAACTTGACACATCAATCGAGACGCGAACTTGGAAAATCCGTTAGTTATACCTGCAAAACCACATTAAAATTATAAATTGAATTATAAAGAAAAACCCATAATCAAAATAAGGAAGTAAGAACCAAGGAAAATAAATAAATAAGAAAGCCTTCTGCTGTCGTTTCATTTCTGTGCTTGGTTCTATAGCTACACCTACTAGAAACGGGGTCAACCATGCCTTACGTACCCATCCTCCGCCTCCACCTCTCTCCCCCCCCCCTTCGTGATTCTTAACGAGAGTGGGAGGTCGTATTAGTCGCTTTTCGGAGCGGCTCGTATTTTGGCGATGGGTGTCGAAGAGGGAGCACGCCAAAACGGTGATAGAATGCGAAATAAGAATAAATATAGATATCTCACACTCTCCCCGCTGTCACGGACAACGATGAACTCAACCTCTTATACCGCCTCTCTGACGCTTCCTGGCCCCTCCCTCCAGGTTCAGTCCTAGACATTCACCCGTTCTCATCGTCGGTGCTCTAGCCATCGCAGAGGGACCATTGAGGAGAAAACTAGCCCGTAAACCCTCTCCGCTCACCGGCCGTTGTGGAGAAAAAAACCAAAAATGGGCAAAGCTGGGGTGTGTCGACTGGTCTCAGAACAAATACTATAAAAGGGAGCCATGCCGATTGTTAGAGGTTGAAGGGGAGTTGTCGATCGACGCCCCCCCCCCCTGAAAGAGGGAAAGGAGAGCAGTCTTAAAATTTTCGAATTTGAAGCATATTGTTCCTGATTGGGAAGAAGATCGGTAAATGTTACATATGAAGGAGGAAGGGCGCTATCTCAAACAGTAGGATTTTTCCTCTGACCCAGCCTGGAAGGAAAGAGACAATGAAATATTCTCAGACAAATGAAGTCTTCTCCCTGCCCCTTACATTCTGGATCTTATTCCTAAAATTAATCCTGAAAGTTTCCCCGATGTTTTGCACCCACAATGACCCACCCTAGAATGCCTAAGGAACAAGAAATGATAGAATGAGACGAAAAAGGTTCTGGAGCAATTTCATGAAAAGAGTCAAAGGTAAACTAATAGCATACCTCGCCAGTAGCCGTTTCCGCCGTTTCCCATGGAGCTGTGAAGCGTTGAAGTGGAGCGAACATCATCGGTTCCAAATGACGGAAGTCTCGCATGGCTTCCTCGACGAATCGAGGCAGAATAGTAGCAGGACGAATCCACAACGACATTCTCAACTGTGTAGCAACCAGAAGGGTGGCTTGCACTCGGCCGACGACGCTTAAATAGCGCCGCAGCGGGTGTTCGCGAACGTTCGCGAAAGTGCGGCGTCTGCGTCTCCGCGACGGGTGCGCTCTCTCGCGGCCATCCGCCGCGCCCGCGTCTCGAATCTTCCGCGACGCGAATTGCATGATGAAATTGTTGATCGCGTCGCTAGACTTGTTTACTGGAAGGTTCTTCGCTGATGTTCTTATTACCTAGATGACCTTTTCTATGGAATCAGTATAGGATGGGATTGTTAAGACTAAGTAAGAGATGAGTCTCAGAGTTGATCGTGCCCGTTCTGGAATGCGCCACGCACTTGACTTCCTTTTTGAATTGCAGTGATATTGTTTTGATTGATGTTTTTTGTAGGCACTAGAAGGACACATGCATGTATACAATCCCTCCAGGCATATTTGGCACCAATCAACCGACACCATAGGGATGGGT